AGAGAGTGTATAGCAGAGGGCTCAGGACACACCCCTGAGGGGCACCGGTGTTGACCACAAGGGTGGAAGAGGTGTTCTTACCCACTCTGACACTCTGTCTACGGTTAGTGAGGAAGTCCACAATCCAGTTGCACAGAGAGGAGTTAAGTCCCAGTTGGTGGAGTTTGGGACGGAGTTTGTATGGCCGGATGGTATTAAAAGCCGAGCTGTAGTCTACAAAGAGGAGCCGTGCATAGGTGTTCCTGTGTTCCAAGTGCTTCAGTAATGTGTGCAGTAATGTGTGCAGCACATTACTGGCGATCGCATCCTCGGTTGACCGGTTCTCCCTGTATGCAAACTGGTGCGAGTCCAGGGATGGTGGAAAAGCAGCTCTGATGTGTTTAATGACCAGTCTCTCCAGGCATTTGACAGAAATGGGGGTGAGTGCCACAGGTCTGAAATCGTTCAGACATGTGACATTTAACTGTTTTGGGATGGGAACGATGGTTGCTGCTTTGAAACAGGATGGTACCAGTGAACAGGACAACGAGGTGTTATATATAGAGGTGAAGACGTCCGCCAGTTCCGCAGCACAGTCTTTTAGCACCCGGCCCAGCATTAAACATTTGAGTCGGTGCTAAAGTCGCTTCAGTTGTTGCATGCAGGTGATGCTCTGGATGGAAAATGTAAGAGTTCTTAGCTCTTGAAAATGATAGTTGTCCTTTTTGGCATGTAGCACACAAAGGGAGGTATTTTGTCTGAGCTTTGTTCTCACTGCTTAAAATCCAGGTGAGGGTGCTTCCTAATCCGAGCTTCCAGGAGGCAAGTCTCACATTGGGTAAATCTGCACAACAGGACCCCACACAGACTTTGCATTTTGCTGTTTTAACACCATTTAATCTGTTCCAACGTGGCTAGACACTTGAGTCTCTGCTGATTAATTCAGAAAGGTTCAGTGCATTTGTGGAAATGGCTGAAGATGCATCAAAATGTTCTTACATTATTTCAAACAAATACTCAGCAAGTGTCATTCATAGTGGGAAGTACCTTTAGCTGTATTTAAGTTTCATAAATTGCATAAATAGAGAAGACGTGGGTTGATGAGAAATATCTGAAGTAGGATCGACAAGCAACTTCCCAGTTAGTGTGCAAATGACATCATCGGGCAAACTGTGACTCCACTGAATAACTGTTGGATCAAAGATCTAATTTGGGCAACGACCATGTGTTCATGAGTAATGTTCACCCGCTGGAAACAGTTTATCTGATACTACTGTATCACAGATGATGCTTGTGACACTTATAATTTTGTTAAATTAATATTTTGACAACAATAAAAGCAAGTACAATAAGAGACAGAGGCTATGGGATAAAAGAAAGAGAGATCTAATGTCCAACATGGGCCCGGGAAGGACAAACGACCTGCCCACTGTGTACAGCTGGGATAGGCTCCAGCCCCCCAGAAAATAGAAGGGGGGGTCCAACAAGCTCATCTGGCCCCTAAAACAGTAACTTTAGGCCAAAAACGGAGCTCTCCTATGCACACATATTTTATTCATTTCCATCCTCAGTGCCTGTTCTGGACCTGCTCCCAAACAACCCAAATCTCTTCAGCACAATGCAACAATTTATGCACAGGAAGAGCATCCATTAAAGATTTAACTGTTCTGTGATTGTGTGGCAGGATTGTAATTTTTGTTTTGTGTGTAAATAATGTAACTGTTACACTAAAAAGCTGGAATAAGACTTTGACTCTGGATTGGATTATCTACATTTTTCTTCACGGTAGAAGTGGCTTCCAGCATCTGTTGGAAATGAGGGTCTTGGCTGAAATGTGACACTGATGTTTTTTTTCATCTGGGAAAATCCTTTTCTGTTTGCCCTGACTGTACAAGAGGCCATTCCAATTAAATCCATTTAGTTGCTGTCTTTGGTTTCCAGTTGGAAAAAGGTGTTTATTTCTTAACAAATATTATAAAGAAGAAACTATTTGCTTGCAAGTTTGACTACACAAAGATTTGTCTTCTGCTGTGAGACTCTTCAACAGACTAAGGAAGAGAACATGGACATGTGGTCTGGAAATAATTCAGTCTGTGGGTAGTCGACACCCAGCATTTAGGCCTCCGCATCTATACCCACCCCCACTTGTGCCATGTATAGGATGAATTACGGGGTTCTGATTGGCTGAAGGACTTTGGTATAATGGTGTGATCCAATCATGTGTTCTCTCACTGTAGGTTCATGCCTGAGTGTCTCTCACACACAAACTTTGCATTACCCCTTAAAGTCACTTATCACCATGTCATGTGACTCTACTGTAACTGTGGATTTCAATAATATTTGGTCAACATTAATGCAGAGTGGATTACATTACTTTCCATTTGCACTGGTTTCCTGACTATAAACCTTGTACTCTTTCAGTGTGAGCACCTTTTGACTTCTTGCACTTTTGTGAAATTCTGCGGCTTTTTCAATGCAACATGATGCGCCAAAACATGCAAAAGCAATACCCCCCGTGGCTGCAGACCCATCATTATTGCATCAGATTGAATGACACAGCCTTCCCAGAGGTGTTGCAAATCATGGACAATGGTTTAATGAAATCAGAGCAGCAGTTATAACATCATTTCCACATGTGGCTCCATTGCTCTCACTCCAGACCAGTGTGCTGGTTTCCAAATGCAGGCCTATTTACAAATTGTGTGAGGGTGCTTCTGCCCATGATTGCTGCACGAATGGTCGCTCGTGCAACAAGGATCCAATCCCCAGCTTTTGCTATCGTTAGCAAATTCAAGAGTGGAACCACATGACTGATCTGCATCATGTGATTTGATTTTCGTGTAACTTTCCAGTTTGAGGGCCTTTCACTTGATATTTTAAATATTCTGTTGCTCTTTTTTCTAATTGCTGATATTAACTTCCATTTGGAAATGACTAAAAATAAATAAAATGAAGTACAGCAGGAACAGGTCTAAAAGAGAGAATTTCAAAATTTCCCAGCAAAATCCAGAAACAGCTGTAGATTTTTTCTTATTAGAGGAGTAAAGTCTTTATTGTGACCTCATGCAACTATTTAGTAGAGAATAAGGATCGCACAGGGTTGTAGTTGGGGTACAGGGTTGGGGTTAGTTCTAGCAATCAGTACAGGCAGGAAATTTTTCTGTGCAGTCCAGTTCTTACAAGCATATATTCAGTATTTGTTCACTGATCATTGCCCCTAGAGAAACAAACATGCCGAGCAACCATTATCATGTCAGCACAAATATCTTCCAAAGATCACACTGTGGCCGACGAGTACATCACATCATGTGTTTATTTTGATCTTTCTAAATTGTTCCAGTAAATTTGAATAGTTGCAGGTGGAGCAAGCCTTTGATCTCTGCTCAGTTATTTAGTATGACTGAGAAGAAAGCAACGTGAATAAACGTGCTCAAGGACAAGCGTCACTCATTGGCTTGGCAATCTGCAACTTTCTGTGTATTTGGCTAAAGGCGAGGTAGAAGAACGGTGCAGATTCAGTATTTTTGTGACTGTAAATATCTGTGTTTGTTACTAGCTCTGTCATACATGACGTCTGCCCCCGATGGATTCTGTGCTGCAAAAACTCTAAACGTCCTCCTCGCCCAAAACCTCAGATCCAGTCAGGTATGATCATCCAGACATAAACTGAATGAAGGATCTACTGTATCCACTTTCCTCCTCTTTCCTCCTTTGTAATCTTTATTTATAGCCAATCCTATAACTGTTTTTGGAAGAAATTCACTCGTGTGTCTGATTCATCTTTTATAACTGACCATTCATTCACTTTTATTGGGCCTCGTGAGTCACCGGGTAAGTTGCTGTTTATAACTCCAGAAGGCTGTTATCACATCGCCGGTAGCGTGGTGATCAGCAGGGAGCTGAGCGGCCGCCTCACAGGCGACCTTGGCTGTAAAATGATAAGAACAGCTGTTATAAACATCTGCTGTATCAATTAATCTAATATTCCCCATGGGCACGTGGAAAATTGTTAACCTATGACCAAGTGGGTGGTGCTCTCAAAGTCTATTGTCAACAGTGAATGTTGGGACATTAGTATGAATCCATTTTTAACAACATACCTCCTGTCAGAGATCACTTCCACTGTTTGGTCATGAGATGTTCTCAACAGATGTTTTTCCCATTTAAGCATCCAAGTTGTGTTCCTGCCACTACCTGTCCCCGCTCCCACTAGGTCATGAGTACGAGCTCTGTGTCAACATTTACTTTGAGAAAGTCTCACTTTCATCTGCTTTCATTTTCTTAAACTCGTGTATGTGCAGTTTTTGCCACTTCATGACATCTTTCTTCCTGAATCAGATCTGTAATTTCAGTACATTCTGTTGAATATTTGCTATGGAGAATAACAAACTTCAAATCGGTCTCCCATCGGTTTTTCTTTTGCATCACGTCCTTGCATTTTTATCCACAGGAGGCACCAGTGAGCCGGGCGAGGAGAACTCTGGATGAGTCAAAGACCACCTGCCTCCTCCACGTTCGTGCTGACTACCTCTACTACAAAAGATTCAAGTCTGTCGAAGCTGTTGTGGCTCAGGTGAGAAGTTCAAAACTGCTTTATTTGCCACTTAAGAAGTTTGGCTTCAGATATTCAGGATTGCTGCAAAGGTTAGAAAGATTCACAAAAAGCTAAATAGAAACATGTAAAAAAAAAAAAAAAACAGAGCTAAGAATAGTTCTGATTCTTTGTGCTTTTTTGACATCACAAACAAAAGATCCCCTGCCTTTAGGGCCACAGGGCGCTCGTTTAGGAGCACAGTGTTTCTCTATTGGGACATCCTGCAGGAGCATCAAATCACAGCACATTTCCCCTCCTGTTGGCAGAACTCTCCACGCTTTGTTTACACACTCTTAACTGCATTTGGTGTCCTGGATTTTGGGTACACGGGTCACTTAATGTCATTCGTCGATAGTAAAACCTTATCCTAATGAAACAAGTGCAATCATTAGTCAGACTTTAAGTTATCATTCAAGCCTCTTGTTTCAAAATACAGGCAGACAAAAAAAAACTATACTAAATCTATGTTTGTTTACTGCTTATCATCCTTTTTGTAAATGTACCAGCTAGTAGTTCAGTACACGGCGTCAGGCTTTACCTGCTATCATATTATTTAAATATTAAAGGAGCATTATGCTAGGCTAAGGTTGGATTTTGGTCACGACTTAAACTTTTGTCTGATTTTGTATCGACCAACATCAAAGGATTGAGTGGACAACAATTTGTGCTGCATTATTTACCTTTGGGATAGTCAACAATAAAAGTGTTTGCTACCTTGACGCCGAACGAAGATGCAAATGCCAGGCCCCGCTCTGACGCACACAGCAGCTGTGGTGCAATGCACTGCAGGGACATTATGTTGCACTGGCTGCAAACATGGCTAAATGAGGCTCTGTCAGGTGCAAAGACCTGCGCCAGAATTGTTCTCATTTTTCTAAATAGTTTCTTCAGTATGTTCTTTAAAACATATAACTGACAGCTATAAAACTGCCATGCTGAGAACAAGGTGAAGTTTAGATGTTAAATGCGTGGTAAATGGTGAACTGTCCATGCTTACATTGCTTTATCTTGCCTTCCCTTTTTCACCAACTCTTTGAAAACTGAAGCCAAGCAGATAATAACTATGGCTGGCTCTGCCTACCCAAACACAGTCTTTCACATCAGAATCAAAGTTTTAGAAAATCATTGATAAAAATGTGATGAATGGTAAACAGACTAGTTCTTCTTCTATAGTGCTTTTCTGGTCTACCTGAGAACTCAAAGCGCTTTATGCTTTGACATAGGCGAATTTTCTCCAAGCATGACATCCCAGTACACTTCAGACCCAGCCACACCCTCAGACAAAAACTGGTTCATCCCAAGGACAAAACTCTAAAACGCAAGCTAAATATGTAGTGCAGTGCAGCGAGGAGTGCTCAGACCTCTCCACTGGAGAAACCAAACAGCCACTCCATAAACACAAGGCACAACATGGAAGAGCCACCTGGACATGACAAGATCCAGCTGTGCATCTGCATCTAAAGGTCAAAGGTCACTCTTTGGAGTATGCCAAAGTTCATATTTTGGACAGAGAAGGCAGATGGTTTGAAAGAGGAGTAAGAGAAGCCATCTATATCCGCTGTAAACCACCATCTTTGAACAGAGGCAGTGGCTTACAACTCCAACTGTCTGCCACCTACAGTGCAGTTTTGAGATCTCTTCCCAGGCACCTCAACACCCGCTTCACATCTTGCGTCAGATGATCTCAAAGGATCACTTGAAAGGGTTGGGCAAGGTCACACAATGGTTTTACCCGAAACCTCTGCTGATAATGACTCACACCCTTTTTCAGACTTTGGCTCACGTGGTTGGGCACATGATCAATGCACGATCTGATATCGTCGTGTTGGTGTTGTTCCCAGATCAACATAGTAAATGTTGTTCCAGGATCAACATTGCAAGTGACCAATCAGAATGTTGTGACGTCATACTTTTGCGACTTCGGGAAAAACCGCCGTAAAACAAAAAACTGTACTTAAGCTGCGAGAAACCGCCTCTATCCGCCAATCAACGGACCCTGACCCTAACCCTAACCCTTTAATAAACGCTGAGCAGAATTGATATTGTCCTTGCAACATTGGAATTTCATAAATGCACGAATGGCTTGGCGCGCCAAAGAATAACGTCACAACAATGTGATTGGTCACTTGCAATGTTGATCCTGGAACAACATTTACTATGTTGTTCCAGGAACAACACCAACACGACGATATCAGATCATCTCATGATCAATAGTGGGTCAATGACGCACTGAAGGGACAACTCCCACTACGGATTAAATACCTGGGACTCTCCATTTGGTTTTAGAACTGAAGAAGCTTCTCTGACCAGAGGTGAAACAAGTCCAGTCACTTTCTTCCCAAGCTCCTCAGAATACCATGACCTGGAGGACTGAGAACCTGCACAGACATATTTATGTATCATTCATCCATTCACACCGATTTATACAAGCACTGCTTTCTATGCTTAAATGCTTTCTAGGCCAAGCTGGAGGTGGCAGAGGTGATGTTCGGATTTTCACTGGGAATGACAAAGGAGAGGATTAGTAATAAATATATCAGAGGTACAGCTCAGGTTGAGCAGTTTAGAGAAAGAGTTCAAGTGAAGGCTGAGATGGTTTGGATATGTGCCGAGGAGGGACTGTGGATATACTGGACAAAGAATGTTGAATATGGAGCTGCCAGTTAAGAGGAAAAGAGGAAGATCAGAAAGAAGATTCGTGGATGTAGTGAAGGAGGAAGGTTGATGTGAGAGAGGAGGATGCGATGGAGACAGATGATCTGCTGTGGTGTCTCTTGAAGAGAGCAGCTGAATGAAGAAGAAGAAGGCGACAGTGCACAGTGCATCCGCTCTTTTCTTTATTTTTAAACAACACATAAAGCTTAAAGCATGAAAATCCCTCCTTTGTAATGTTGTACAACTGTTGCAGCTGTAGTAAAAGCCAACTCTGAGCTTACAGATGCAAGCTAAAAACATTTTTAATACTTTCCAGTTGAGCAGGCATTGAATTTAAATTTTATTCAATTGTATTTATACAGAACCAAATCACAAAAAAAGTCACCTCAAGGCTCTTTATATGGTAAGGTAGACCCTATAATAATAAAACATACAGCGAAAAAGCCAACAATCATGTGATCCTCTTTGAGCAAGCACTTTGGCGACAGTGGGACGGAAAAACTCCCTTTTAACAGGAAGAAACCTCCGACAGCACCAGGCTCAGGGAGGGGCGGGGCCATCTGCCACGACATCAGCAGACAAGCAGCTAAAAGCTTACTTTCTGCCGATGTCCCCGCATTGCCTCAATGCAGTCAGAAACATAATCAGACAGAGAGGTCACATGATGCATTACTTTAAATTGAGTTTAGTTACAAGATGATACAATAATGCAAAAACCCACTTCAGTATGATTATCTTTCTAATTCCTCCGAATTAAAAACCAATAAAGAGTCATTATTTTTGTGATAAAACAAGATAAGTGCACAGATGTGAGTTCATGCTCCCACGAATCTCTTTTTTGACTAATTAAATCTCTTATTAGTCAAAGTCAAGTCAGTTAATGAGTAAGTCAGTTTGTCCTTAGTTTACTTGTTATTCTCTCTGGAGTTTCTTGTGCTGTCCACCCTTTCAGCACCTCTTTGACCCGCCTCAGATTCTTTCCACCTTAAACAAGCACATTTTGTCTCTGGTTCAGCGCCAGACCTTTGTTGCACAGAGTGAGAAAATATACTGTAACTGATGCCGTGATGGGATCGTTGAGTGTAAATAAGCAAAACCTTGTTGTCAGAGGCTCCTGTCCCAGTTTCAATGTCTCCTACATCCAAGCTGTCAATATTTACATTCATGAGCATTTCCCCACAGGCGCTTTTGTACGTTTGTCTCCTGCTGTGCAGAATCAAACCTGCGCATGTGACCGGTGTGCACATGCTTTGCTGAAACTGTTACAATCTGTGCCAACCACAACAAAAACACCCAGTGTTTTATATAATACCTGACGCGACACATTTACATATATAACAGTCACATTGTTGTCAACAGATTGCTATTGTTCAATCTTTTCAAATCAGCAGGAGAAGGTTATCTTCAAGACGAAAATATCATTTATAGCACTGAAAGGATAAAATGCTAAACCTTCTGAAAATCTTGTTTTTATTTATAAATGAGATAGAATAAGTTATTACGATATATCACTTAATGTTTTCATTTTTCCTTTTCTTGTCTTATTGTGACTTGTTAAAGGCAAAAAAGCTAATTTTTTTTAGCTTAATTCCAGAGAGATTCCTGTTGTTCTCGCATTAACTGTGGTTTCTCAGGTCGCCTCGTACATCCGGGCTGTGAATGACATCTACGACAAGGTGGACTTCAGTGGAATCCAGTTGATCAACTTTAAAGTCAAGTCCCTCAGAGTAAGCTTCAGAACAGTGCACAAACTCCACAAACCTTTGAGCAATGTTCTTCAGTTGCTGATCGCTGATAACACAGTGAAGCTTTTACACATTCAAAATCATGTCATGAACAAGCTTTTTATTGAGATACTTGGGTTCATGCATCAGTCGGTGATGGTGCCCATGTGTCTTCTTCTGGGAGTGGAAGTGAGTCACAGCAGCAAAATAAGCTGAAATACAAGACCTCAGAACTGTGGTGTGTTTGAGTGTTCCTGTGTTTGTCTGTCTCCAGGTGATGACAGAAGAGGATAAAAATGACCCGCTGTCTCCTCTGTACATCGGCCCCGAGAAGCTGCTAAGTCTGTACTCGGAGAACAACTGGGGCAACTTCTGCCTGTCCTACCTGCTCACTGACAGAGACTACAGTGGAGTGCTGGGGCTTGCCTGGGAAGGCAAAGCCGGTGAGTCAGAATCACTTTGGCACTTTTACAAAAATCATAAACAAATGACTTCTTCATGTAACTAATGCATATGCAGCATGGTGGAAACACTGGTTTCCACAGGTACCGTAAATGTAATATTGTGTTTGGTTTCCTCACAAAAGAAGCACACAAAGAATTTGGAACACTTGTTAGGCTACGAATGAACCTTTACTCATTCACTAGATAATGCACAGAGCGAGTCAGGCTCCTGGAAATACGTCCACTGTTTAATAGACTACAAAATCATCATGTAGCTCTCCCTACAAAAGTTTTACGAACCATCTATTGACGGAGACCATCATGCGTTGGACCAGTCGGTGTTAGCGTTGCAACTTTGCCACCCCAGTACAATGATTTAATTAACCGCTATTAAAACATCAGTATAAGCTGTGTTTTGGCTCCTGAATACGAATATGAGCTAAACTCTGGACTTGGAGGAACAACTCAACATTTTTCAAGAATTGGACAAAATAAACTCATTGTTTTTCCACGACACAGAGAGAATCAGTTCTCTTTCTCACAGGTAGCAGACATCATGATGCTATCTTCATATCTTCATCTGAAAGCAGTTTTACAAAGACCAAAAAATGTCATTATTTATTAAAAATCCAAACTTTTAGCATTGGTAAGCATTTTCCAGCAGTTAATAGAGACTAAAATATTTGCTGGAGCATTTCTATACTGAAAAATTAAAAAGGATGCATTGAGAACATAAGCCAGGCTCAGCGTTATGCAAATACATTATACAGAATTATACAGAATGTGTGGATATGAGCCAGACAGTGTTAAAAAGTTTGTAACCTGGAAAAGGAATATTTAAATAAGAATGTGCATTAAATGAGGTATCGAAGTGGGTGTAAGAACTATATACAGTGGAACCCCGACTTACGAAATTAATTCTTCCCGAGGGTCTTTCGTAAGTCGAAGATTTTTCGTAAGTTGAAGCACCCATTGCGCGTTTTGAGTGAGGCGATGCTGAATGATAGGCTATAGGCTAAATGCTAACTAGGACAACAATATGTCGTTCGAGTGGAACAGCGAAGCGAAAGTACGGAAGCCAAGGGGTTGTCATCCGGAAGGCATTGTGGGCATTGTAGGCTCAGCCAATCAGAGCCAACGGGTTTCGCATTTTGCCGTAACACGGGCAGAAATATTGCCGTTCAGTGCCTTTGTAACTTGAATTTTTCGTGAAACGGGGTATTCGTAAGTTGGGGTTCCACTGTATATAGAAACACATATGTTTTATTATGTGCTGGTTGCCCTAAAATGCATCCAAGCATAGTTTTCCTTGTTCAAATGACAATGTTGCACAGTTACAGGAATTAGACAGCTCCCATTTCAAGGCTTTCATACATGCAGTGTTCGGGTCTGAGACATTGAAGTAATAATCCTCAGTTATTCACATACAAACCTGCATGTTGCACAAAGCATTTCTTTTGAAAACATGATGAATTTATTATTTGCATGTAAAATAATAATAAATAAACTCCCATCCCACTTTGCCACAGTATACCTGGATTAGTTCGTACGGTTCAAGCATTAGTCAGCTCCCGTAGATGTGCAGTATCATTGGTGTGCTGGAAGGACTTGACCACATGTATGAGAACTGTTGCAGTAGGAGGTTCTTGCTTGGGTCTATGTCTCACATTCAGCATTTGATTGGTTAAACTCAGGGGCGTGAGAGCAGACCACCAGAATGACATACGATTAGGGTGCGCTGAACCTTTGACACACACACACACACACAGCCGCTCCTAGACGACTTAGAGAGGATTGGAGCTGCATTCCACCACATGATTGCCATGGTGACATCTCACATAAGTAACACACACACGCACACACACACAGTTACACTGTTAGGACTTTTCAGGCTCATGTGATCTCCCATAGACACAGCAGAGAGGTTTGACCTCCACAGACTGATACACTCGACCTCCGTATGACCAGTTTCTTAGTGGTTTCACCACTGGCCCTTAAACTCAAAGACCCCGTTTCCATCTGCAGCCTCAGCAAAGTGCTGCATTCACACACATGCGGACACACACAACCCCCATCCACCACACCAAACTCCTCCTCTAACCCCTCCAAGTTGCGTTTTTCTATGTTAGTGGAAGATGGGGGGTTGGGCTCAGCTCAGAGTTTCGAACCACACCAAGACATTAATTTACCAGACATTACGTTTAGCGTTAATGAATCTTTACAATGGCCTCGAACATACGTATACATACACAAAGGAGGGGATATTCACCAGCTATATTAGACATGGAGAAACTTTAAAGGAAATGCTGCAAAGAAAACTTGAGAAAGCACGGGGTTTTTTTTCCCATTACCATGGTTTGCTTTGAAAATGTAGCTTGTATCTGTAAAATAATTGCTGTATGAAAAGCTAGCCAGAGCACAGCTGCTCTCCTTTAGATCCGACTCTTATTTGTGGTTAATCACCTTTCAGCCTGTGCCGGTGCCGGTGCATTCAGTGTAGGACGTTTAGATCTTTGTCACATGTCACCCACCCCCACCCACTCCCTTTGCCTGTACGCCTCTCTGTCAGCTTTCAAACAAGGACAAAATGTCAAAGCGCAGTAAAATACAATGCAATGCATGCCTTGCAGTTTGGAAAGCAGCAAAAGTAACTAATTACTATTAGGCCAGTTATTTGCTCTGTAACTGTCAGTAGACCAATTAAAGGCTTTATGTGTGTTGTACCAAAAACAGTCTTATTCAGATCAGGTGCATAAAATCTCAGCTATAACAAGCTGTTTAATAACCTTATTCTGTACTGGTGGCATGCAGGGCTCATAACTTGTGACTGAACTTCAAATTAGTCGTCATTCTGTCAGTGATTTTTCACACTGTAATCTGGAGAAATATGTGTGTAGTGAGTGGACAGAACTAATAATATATAATATATCCACATATATATGTCCATATAGCCATATATATCCATAATATATATAATAACAAGAATAATATAATTTCTTTGGTTTCTTCCTCAAACTTTAATCATCTAGGGTCTCTCCTGACACAATTAACTAGAAAAAAAAGTACTTTCTTAAGATTCAATGATTTTTTTGTTGTTATTGTCAATTTCCTGCATGTCCAGTACATGCAGGAGAATCAAAATACTGTTGCTCTCTCTCCTTATTATAGAGAAGAATTAGGAAAGATGAAGGACACATAAAAATCAAACCTATGTACAATGGTAACAGCAGTAATAAAATGAATGCGTGCAAATAAACAGCAGTGGCAGCCTTTTCAATGAAATAGTTTCATTTTGTTATACTGACATTATTGGAGCTGAAAAACATACAAAGCGTAAGACCCCGGCTGATTAATAGCTGTGCTACACACCCGTCAGATTAAGTCTTTAGTCTCTGACCAATAAAAATGCTCGAAACAGCCTCATAACACAGCAAATAAACACACACAACTGCAAGGTCATTGAACTCTGGAGACAAAGACAGCCTTGAGCGGAAGCCTGTATAGACGTACATTATTTACAGTACTTTTGGTTGCCTTCCTGAGTAGTACCAGCATATTATCTGGGAACTAGTTGTTGTTTTTGGCACGCAAAATGTTCACTGCATCTGTTTTTGCTGTTAAAGGTCTTATTTGGGTACTCCGACTCCCCCAGATATGTTCAGGTCTAAGGAAAGACCCTTTACGTCTTTGTAGCGTTTGCTCATTTACATTAAAACCATGTGTGTTTGCTTGTGTGTGTGTGTGTGCTGTGTAAGCATCTCAGTGTTTGTGTGTGCTATGATGTTAACTGATGCTGTGTCACCATATAAACTTTTTTTCTACCGTTAGTGTATGTATACAATATATACACGCATGTTTCCTGCTGATGGTGAGTGCATGTGTGTGTGTCGGTGTGTACATTAGATTTAAGCGAGCCAGATGATTGTTTGCTCATGCAGACTGTGTTTATCCAGCAGGCTAATAATAGGAGTCTTTCAGTACGCGTCCTTTGTGTGTCAGAGACGAGAAGGAGAAAAGGAGAGGAACAGAGTGCAGGCCGACTCTGCGATCGCTTGCACGCTCGCTGCCAAAACCCACAGTGGGGACCTCTAAAGTAACACTCTTTCTAGGAAATGCAGCCCCTTGAATTAGGGGGACCATTTCAGGTCAAAAGGAGGGAATGGAGGAAAGAAGCAGCCAGCATTCTTCATCAATGTGACTGGAAAAGCCGTGCGCGGCAGTTTGACTTTTAACTATGCGGAGGATTTATAGTAATGGCAGTCTATCATAATTCTTTTTGTGTTTTTATCTAAAGCTTAAAAGCCTCAAAGTTTCAATTAACAAAAGATAAAATAGCCTCAAACCTCCTTCGCTTATCTAGAAGACATTTTATTTGCTACTGCTTCCAGCCTGGTGTCATAGGGTACGCTTCTGTTTTTGTTTTCTGACCTCTGATTGTCCCTGACCCTTCCTGTCACACTTACACCCACTGCGTAACAAAGACATGCAGGTGGGAGATCCAGATGCCAGCGACATTTTCCCACAGTCTGCGATGACACCTGGTGTGTTCGGTTTTCTCAGAAACGGACACGTACCTTGCAAGCTTTTCCCGCCAAAATGGTGGCGCTGATAACATTATGTAAGAGGATGTTACATAAAAGTCACGAGACTGCCAAGACCTGCAACCTCAACCGACACACGGGTGCACGGGAACCAATGAAAAGATGGGGAAGTAACTCCCCAGCTGTGCTTTGAAAACGCGGGTTAGACTCCTCCAGTGTTCGGTGTGTTGTTGACAATGAGAAGAACTGACCCTATAAGACTGAAAATTTAGTTAGATAACTATGTCAAACTACTGGTATTCACATCATACTTTATCCAATGAACAGTCTTTCTGACCTATAGGTGTGCAGCCTGACCAATCAGACTGGTTTCTGTAGAGCTAGCTCTGTGGCTGGCCAGCTGCAACATGACATCACTTCCCAGATATCCCTCCATGTGATTGTGGACAGCTGTTTATAATTGTAAGAATGGCTTTCAATGGATATTATGTAAAGTGAAAGGCAATGATGACCACCACAGGCTTTGGTGTAAAAAAAGGAGAGCTCACCTGACTCTAGCCACACCTCAAACTGGAGCCACAGTAGCAGAGCACTGTTGGTTTTAAAGTATTTCCAGTAGCACAAGGTCACTTATGCAATCTTATCACCCTGTAAAGTAACAGGTGCCAGGCTGTAATTAGATCTGCAGCTCGTTTCTGCTGTGATTGTAAGATCTTCCTTATCAACTCAGGAGGCATTCATGAGGTTACAGCTTTGCAGTGACCTGTATTTCTACCTTCCTCAGCTGCTTCAGTGGTTTTTAAAATCCTATGTGGATCATTTGGTTGCAGCACTCAGAAGCTCCCTTCACTCACAAGGTTGCAACAGACGGTCGCCCCTCCCACAGCCTGGTTCTGCCACAGGTTTCTTCCTGTTAAAAGGGAGTTTTTCCTTCCCACTGTCACCAAAGTGCTTGTTCATAGAAGATTGTTTGATTGTTGGGGTTTTTTGGATTATTGTCAATTATTTACCTTACATAAAATTAACAGTGTTGTTAACAAAAAGTTGCCAAAAATGGCCAATGCATCAAATGCAATACAAAAAAAAAATAATATCATCAAAATATATCATACAAAAATGATACAGCAAAAAAAAAAAAAATGTGGATTTTGTTCTAAGGGTTAATAAACATCTGAGTTCCCAAAAAATCTGAATTCTCTGGCTATTTTTGATGGGTTGGGTCTTACAGGATTGAGATGAATTCATAAATGTTACATAAATATATGTAAAGGTTTTTCAGGAGAACGCTGAGATAAATCGGAATGTTCAGAAGTTTCAGCTTTTAAACTATATTTACTTTAAGTATTAACTTTAAGTGTCGCATGCTCAGTGAACCTCACAATCTCAGATATTGTCTTTTATTTTCTTTATCTAAGGAAACTGGGGAGGAGTGTGTTCAAAGCCTGCGACCCTCAAAAACGGTGTTAACTGCACCCTGAACACAGGTCTGGTCACAATTCAGAACTACGGACAGTTTCTGCCTCCTCGACGAGTCCAGCTGACTTTGGCACACGAGCTCGGCCACAGCCTTGGATCTCCGGTCAGTCACCACGAAAAACACCAGCAAAAAACCCCAAAACAAAACATGATTACAATTCAACCATACAACTTATATAAAGATTTTTTCATATATGTCGGAACTTGTTGATGTCAGTTGTGGTTTAAATTATATCTAGAAGGTCGAACAGGAGGCCTTTTGTAGATATTGCAGCTGCAGACAGAGCAAGTTGTATTCAGTTGTATTTATCTGAGTGTACTGTTAGCATTTCAACCTCTTACCTTTAAAAAGTACATCTCAATCTTCTGTGCTGCTATATCTCCATGGTGCAGAGCGTATGTTGCTAATTTCCAGAACTACTGCAAGGCTCCACGACCACAATTTCATGTTCATGTAAATCAAATTGTGGGTTATTAGACAGATGGTGCTTTTGTTGAGAGACAGTAATGACTTAGCATTAGCCTAGCTTTAGTGACAACAGTGCTCCATGCACCAAAATAAGGCCAGGTGATTTCTGACTGAAGGATTACCTGTACTGGAATCAGTCTTACTCATGGTTAATAACTCTATTGAAATGAAAGCCAGATTGCTCAGCACCAAGAAAACAAAATTAAATGTATCATACCTTTTCTTTTCTTCTTCTTTTTTTTTTTTAGTGCAGCCATATCTGCTGCTGTTTCTGTTTGTTGTACTAATGAGTGACGGTAAAACGTGAGGAGACTTTTCATTCGATTTGCACGTTTCATGGGTTCAGTGTATCCTGGATGTCTGTTTGCTAGTTTCAACCTGAATCATTTCCATCTTTTATTTAAACATAAAACGTCGTTGGCTGTTTGCTGAACGTGACGAGTCCCAGAGATTCAAAGTGTTGTGTCGCATATTCTCACACGGTTGTTTGCACTGGAACAAATTGTCTGTGAATGATTCACTTCTGTGGGCGTTGGAGACCTTGTCCTTTATTGACTGGTTTGTTTTTATAGGGACCCCTGTCTCAGTCTCACTGGTACATCTCAAAAAAGGGAACGGGAGGAGCTCTGATGTCAGTCACTTGTGTCCTATGGTTACTCTCTGTTTGCCTGGCAGTCTCTTCCGCCACCTCAATAACAGCACACATGTTATATAAGCACACAAATGCCTGCACCTCAGTATGTGTGACAGCTGCTAACACCTCCAACCTTTCTCCTGCTGCCCAAAACGCCAGCAGCACTCCACACTCTCTTCTCACCCTGCTCTCTATTATTCATATTACCACACACTAAAGAGCCCTCCGAGGCATTCCTGAGCAGATTAGCTCTGCTATGTCAGACCCTGCTGCCTTTTTATAAATTAAACTACTGTAAGCACAGAGCACCCCTCTAATATCTTTGCTCCTGTGACAGCCATGTTTCCAGGCTGCATAGGATTGAGGAAGACATAAAGACATGTGACTGAAGGTCTCCCCTGCAACTTCATGGTGGAAAAAGCACAGGGGTGCACTGTGATGGGGAGAAACTTTGATTAAAAAGACGCTTTGGCTTTCAGAATATTTCTCTTCCAAACTGTGTATCTCTACACTGATTTTTAAAAATGAATTCATCAGGTGAAAGATAAATTGAAATATAAAGAGGACATCATTGATGGGTTGGAAACAAGACCAAAGTTTGCAAAGGCGACCTTCACTATCTAAACCATTACACCTTGCAACTGTAAGTCAGCAACAACAAAATGAATTTTTGAAGGTCATTTATCAGACTGGCTTCCAGGTTAATATCTGAAAAGTTATATCTTTTCTTTGCTTTACCTCTAATATGAATGGATAAAAAGAAAATTACTATCAAAACCATCAAAGCAGATTTAGGCAGCAAGTCTTAATTTGCATTAAGTTGAAACGTCTTTTTTCAGGTGTAAAATGTAAATAAAAGCAAAATGCAATGATTGGCAAATAAACTGATCCGCAAGGCCAGTAATGTTGTGGGGATGGAGCTGGACTCCCTTAAGGTGGTGTTGTAGAGGCGGATGTTGTCCAAGATAAGGACAATGTTGGATAATACCTCCCACCCACTCTATGACATGCTGGCTAGCCACAGGAGCACGTTCAGTGAGAGACTGAAAAGCACCACTGAACGACACAGGAAATCATTCCTGCCCGTGGCCTTTACAACTGTAAACACTGCAACAGTTACACCCTTTTTGCACACGCTCTTTTCTACTCAGTAATGTTGTTGTCAATATTCTAGATATATATTTATAATCACCTCTGTCAATCCTTGATATTTATTATTGAGTGATTTGTATTGTTGTATTTGTACTGTGCTATTTCTTACATCTGTAAATCTGTAACATATTGTATTGTTAAATAGTCTAGCCTGTTTCTGTTACTGTTATTCATATTCATATAGGAACGCTTTTAAGTTTTTCCCCTGTCCCCATATTTGTTTACAGGTGTTGCTGCTCCATAAATCATATTTACTTAAACTGTATAATCATTGATTGCTTTATCCTTTGTTCTTGAATATTTTGTTGTCCCACTCCTTATTTTCTCATTGTATTCTGGGGGGTGTAGTGCATAGAGCTTATGTATATTTGTATAAGAAGAAACATTCAGTACCTCATAAAATACAAGGAAATAGCACACCAGGTTTTTCCTGAATTGGAAAAGCTTTCTAGTATAAACACTTATCTTTGTTTTTGGTTATGTTTAACCTAAAATCACATCGTGTCTGTGAAAACAGCATCTGTAGACTGCTACAGGTGCTCAAAAAGTAAACAGGAAGTGCTGTTACATACATCTCTGCAGAGGTATTGAACACAGCTTTGCTTTTCTTCCTGTTTTTCAGCTTTAAAGATAGCGTAGTTCTGGTATACACTAGAAGCGAATACAAGGTTTGGTGTAAAGTCTGAAGCCCCCACAAAAGAAACTGAGGCATGAGAGTGGAAACACAATTCAAGTTAGTTTTATGCATGCTGAAAGAAAGAGTTCCAACATATGCTGTGTTGCAGTGCCCTGGCAAACCCAGAGCTGCAGATAGTGACAGATAAAGTGACGACTGTATAATCACCAGTGTCTTTCAGCCTAATCTTAAACATATGCAAAAATATCCACATCAATGCCGTTTCCCTCAGCATGTTTGCATGTTCACTTCAAGTCTCTGCATTAGACTAATAATTCATCAGAGACTTTGACATCCTAAGAGTATGAGCTCCAGAAAAAGAGGAAGCTCTAGTTTTATTGCACATGTGGAACACATCATTAGATGGACAGGGGATTCAAGATTTGTCTTTTTGCTCTTAAAAGTAAAACTGCCCTTTCAGCTGAGGCCTGCTGATGGACATGACTGGAAAAGCTCCTCATCATGATCAGTGAAGGAAGTTGATTCCCCAAACTATATTTAAGAGGTGGAAGCAAATATCTTCATGCTTGCCGTTTTGTCTGTGTTTCAGCACGATGAGGGCGCTAACTGCGGGAACCTCGGCTCCGATGTCGGTAAAGGCAGGTACCTGATGTTTCCTTACGCCACAGACGGGGCGCGTGAAAACAACGATAAATTCTCACCCTGCAGCATCAAACACGTTAGCAACATCCTGAAGCTGAAGAAAGATGACTGCTTCACGGGTGAGGAAGAAATATCAGTGTCCTGCATCCTGTTTACATTGTGCACTAGTTGCTGCAGCCTTCAGGCTATATCTGTATGTGTGTATCTGCTCATGTGTTTATCTGCTTGTCTGTTCATTTTGGGCAGTCAGTGATCAGCCCATCTGTGGAAACCAGATCATAGAGGAAGGTGAGGAGTGTGATGTCGGTAACAAAGATACAGATCTCTGCTGCTACAGTGCTAAAGAGCCTGTAGGAATCCAGTGTCACCTCAAGCCTGGTAAAATCTGCAGGTACTCCACATGTACACAACATCAAAGTGTGCGAAAATGATTTCCAAAACTGTAATTAGCTGTTCAGGTCTTTCTGAATATTTGTAGTTCAATCATGTATGGGTTTGAGGTTAATAAATTTAAATATTCATCATCAGTCTTTCATCGAAACTATTTATATTCTAGTTTCGAGATGCGGCTTTGTTTAGTTTAGATGTAGCTCTCATGTGCAGCCATGTTTGTGGTGTTTTTTCTCTTCCATTCATCAGTCCAAGTCAGGGCCTGTGTTGTGGTCAGAATTGCGAGTTTAAGCCAGAGGGTCAGAGGTGCGACGAGGAGACAGACTGCCAGAAAGCGAGCGTGTGCTCAGGACTCTCCCCGCTCTGCCCCAAGCCAGCTGCCAAGGAAAACCTCACTGTGTGCAGTCAGGGCACGCGTGTCTGCCTGAATGGGGTGAGGCGGGCACATCCACCACACCAGAGCGTTACTTAACACACTCCGTTACCCAATGAGGGAAAGTGTGCAAGTGTGCAGCAATGTTGCAAAGCATGTGAATCTTGACCTTGAAAGCAGCACATGGCAATAGACTTTCAGTATAAGGTTCATTTAGTAGCTTTTCCAGAGATTTCTTTTTCATCATGTCCACTCGCCAGACACCTTATAAGGTGAAGATGGGCACAGTGTGGTCATAAGGACATGGTCATAGTTGGCAAAAATACTCAGGTAGGCTGTGGAATTTCTCTAAGCCAAATTCTGACTCTACCATTAGAATGTCGCAGAACTTCAAAGAGACTCATCAGACCAGACAACAGATTTCCAGTCTTCTAAGGTTCAATTTTAACAATCCCGTACGCGCGGTTTCTTGTTATGAGCTAATAAGAGTGCCACCTGGAGTGGTCTTTTGCTACTCTGGTTCATCTTTCGGAGATATGAAAAAGAGTTCTTCATATGTTGACACAACCTCTGACATCAACAAGGCATTTTCATCCATGAGACCTGCCAGTGAGTGGATATTTTTTCTTTATTAAGACCACTCTCTGTAAACCCTCAACATGGTTGTGTGGTAAAATCCCAGCAGATCAGCAGTTTCGGATATACTCAGACCAGCCTGTCTGGCAACAACTCTGCCACATGATTGGTTCATTAGATATTTACATTGTTCAGTTGAGCAGCGGTTCCTAACAAAGTGTTCAGTGAGTGAGTTTGTTGTGTTGTGTGTCAGCTCTGTCTACACCTAATATCGTGATCATACAAAAATATCAGTGTCAATGCTATTTGTTGTATTTGGCACAACAAGCAACCTTTTTTTGATAAAACCGTGTCGCCTGCATACGCAGAAATTCACATTACAATTCAGCCAGAGTCTCACTTATTTTAAATAAAAGTTAAGAAATGTCTTCACTTGAAATCGTTGCTGCAGAAAGGTGATTTAACTGCAAACTAGCCTTGCTTTTATATAGTAGTTCTCTATTGCAAAGAGACGTGTTACAGATGAGTTGCACTCATCAGTGCAGACTGACTCAGACTGATTGCATATTGCAGACAGAATGCTAACATATAAGCAGTCTGTCTACTTTTATAGAAGAGAGCACAATTATTTGCAAACACTCACCAGTGTGTCTGAGAGTGCAGAGAGTGCAAGTTGCCTCCCATCAGCTGACTTGTGCATTTGCCTTCTGATTAAAAGTGATTGAGGGCGTTGCACACAAATAAGTTCGGCTGTTTCCAGTTTCTCATTTAAAATACAATCAAGTGCTTCCTGTTTTTGTTTTAGGTAGCACGAAATGAAAATTATCTTGAAATAATCAGAACATTTAAAACCCACTGTCTGTGCTTACTGGCAGGTATTACAGGTGTAAACAAAGGTGCCATTTTAACACAGCATTTCTGAAAAAAGAAGAGAAAAATCCTTTTTAGCCAGCAGGATAACAACAGGATCTCCCTCCAAAATTAAACACAGACGTTACTCTGTCCTCTCAGCAGGAGAGCATTTATTCCAGCTGTGACTGTGGTCTCCAGATGTTCTAACCTCATCTAACCTGGATGACCTGACCCGGGAACATAAAATATATAATCCCAAACGTAAAACATGATAAAAGGCTTTTTAGGAGATGTAAGTAATAGTGTAAACCAAGAAAGGGAAAACGTATCTTTAGTTAAAATTCTCAAATTCATCTTTTTTTTTTCACTGACACTGATATATTATTTCCAACGAAACACAAAAGAGAAAAAAAAACTTCAAACAAACATATTCGGTTCATCAAAACATGTCAAACATAAATTTACTTCAGGCTTAAAAAACAACAACAGTGAAACACATCTGTGATGCAGATCCCCACATTACAAAGTCTCAGAAAGTAAGAGGCAGTTTCTAAACTCTGTCGAACACTATATAAGTGTCTGTAAGTGTTATATACACTGAAAAAGTTAATGCAACACAAGCGCCCCAGTACATCTTACCTGTCTGTTTCCCCAGTTTTCTTATGAGACATTAGCCAGGAGTGGTTATGAATGGCTAAATCTGATGTATTAACATGAAATGAAAAACACTCCCTAAACTAGCTCATGTCTTTTGTGTGCGTACGTATTTGAGTATTTGAACTAGTGTTGTTTGAATTGAATCTGGTATACTTTTCTGTATTTTTTCTTGACTTCAGATCGTTCTTTAATGCCCCAGGCTCTGTATGACATCAAAGAGAGCACATATGTCTAATATGGAGCACAGGCACATGGCTTGGGCTGTGAGGAAAGAAGCCCCGCCCACCTTTAGTTCAAATCTCCTGTTTGTGGGAGGTAGCCAATGAGATATAAGAATGCTTAAATCGAGGGTCCAGTGTACGATAAATAAGGACCTTTATGAGCTCTGGTAGAGTCCAGTAATAAAAACATGGATCTGGAAACTAACATAATAGGTCCTCTTTAAAACATAAATATAGATATATAAATTTAAATTCACTGCTAATTCGCATGACTGACATAAACTGTAAGGTAGTGAAATAATCCAATTCCCTACCAATCGAGTCAATATTTTGATCATCAACAATAGACGTACTGATAGTGATGAACTTGAACTGGCTCTTATTTGTCTTAATTTCTTACATCATAGTTCTCTCCCAGCTTCTTCTGACTCTACATCCTAACTGTAGTATCTGTTTGTCTCTGAAGGTCTGCACTGGCTCGGTTTGTGTGAAGCACCGCCTGGAGAAGTGCGACTGTCCCGGAGACTCCATGAGGGAGAAATGCCACATGTGCTGCCAGAAGCCTGGTAACCACGGGAACATGTGTCCTCTGCTACAGAGGAATGTGTTTACATGCTGTGTCTCAACAACTCAGGCTGTGTTAATTAGTGCTGAGGTTACATTTCTAAATGATTGTGTTCTTTTAGACCAATCTGTGTTCACAAATCGTAGTTATTAAAGGTCAACTGTTTCTCAAACTCCGGTTTCCATTTCATATTGTCAAGTTTTGAGTAAGTGGCATATCTCTTTTATGATATACACACACAGGCTGGTATGCGGCTCAAGAAACTTGCTTTTGTAAAGTATAAACAGTATTTATACTCTCTCTCTCTATATGTGTGTGTGTAATGTTTCTGTAACTTGATTTGATTTCCTTTGTTTGTATTTCTTGCAGATCAGCCTGAGACTTGTGCAAGCACCACATCGTCTGTTCTGTCCGATCACTTCCACAAAAAAGTGTTGCCCCTGGTGGGTGGTGCGCCGTGCTCTGGAAACCGTGGATACTGCGACAAATTTCACGTATGCCGCATCCTCGATGCAGACGGCCCCATCGCGAGACTGAAGAACTCCTTTCTTCATTTGGATGACTTCGACGACGTGGGAGAGTGGATGAAGGTGGAATCTACATTAGTGCGATAACATCAGAATAAGATAAATATATTGATTGTCAGGTTTCGCTGCGTAGCAGGCACAGTTGGACCCAAGCTCAGGACCCAAAAAATTGCTTTATTTCTGAAGGTAATAGGGCAGAGTGGACACACCTGAGGAACACAGCTGAAAAGAATCCGACTGACGAGACAGGGGAAGCAAAACTGAACATGATACATAGGAGACCTTAGACTATTAAAATAAAACAGGAAGAAACACTGAGACTAAGACATGAGGGATAGCTGGGTCTAAATAAATACAAATCTGCCTACACCTCAAAAATGTATTTGATCTACACATGGCTATAAAACATGCAGCTTGTCTACTAGAAGCTCCTCTACTCTACTTGTTGAAGTATACTTGCTCATCTGTATGAGTCTGTGAACTTTAGGTTAAAAGCTCTTAGGTATAAGAAAAGGTGCTTGTGACAAAGATGGTTGCAGTAAGAAAGTACTTTTTGTGCTCAAATACAGAAGAAAAGTCCTCTTTCCTTCAGATTAGGTATGATCCAAAAAAGAGGTTTACGACTGACGGCCTGTAGATCCAAGTGATGAGCCCATCCCATTATTTGGCTGATATGCATTTGGCAGCTGGAGAACATTTGTTTTCTCTGTCGGGGCCATATGTTGTTCATATCTGGGTGTTCAGTGTTCAGTCTTAAAACAAAGTAGAGTCTTTTCTACAGTTTCTGGGTTGAAACGGTGTGGAAAGCACGTGCAGCTGGCCTTGAAGCATGTTTTCTTTCAGCCGGTGGATGCGTCAGAAGTGTTACTCAATCGGTAGAGTTACCCAAAAGATCAGCTACCATATGTGCTCCCTGTGTAACAAACAGGATGTTTAGCCATTGTGTTCATTTGAATAAAACAAGTAATTCAAAATAATATAGACCTTTTTTTTAATCCCTCTTGGTATCCTATTGGTCACTGGGAGAAACTGTGTATTTCCCAACCAGTAGGCGAGTAGTTGCAGGAGGTTGTTGGCTGTCACTGTGTGACATCAGTCACAAAATTCACAACCAGTGGAATACTCCCTTTTCCCTAGCAACTAGTGGTTGCTAGGTAGTCATCAGCCAGTATATAGGTTATTGTGACTGGGACCTAACCAGTATGAAACCACAAAGCATTATAGACTGAAACTTTTGAAAGAAGAAACTGCACATGTAGTGTTTTTGTATCTGCTTCATAAACAAAAAGAGACATGATTGCAAAAGAAAAGGTAGATTAATACTCAGTGATAACATGGTAATAGCACAGTAATAACATTATAATGGCCTGTAATGCTATTTAATTATAACATTATTACTAAATAATAGCTTTGTATCAGTGATGGGTTCTAGCTGAGTGATATTAGACTGATTTATGTAATGGGGGGGGGGGGGGTAATAACTGAGGGAATAATATGAAAGTGAACAATAATGAACAATAAGGCAAAATCAGTGAGGTAATATTTTTGGTAAAGATATGAAAACCTTTGAACAATAAAATTATTGTTTCTGCTCAACATTTTAAATTAAAGATTAAATTAAAGATTTTTATTCTAGTGATCTTAATCTTAATCTTAAACCAAACGACACCAATGCTTCCAGCTTATTCGAAATCATGTTTCTGTTTATTCTCCTCAGGCTCACTGGTGGGCCATCCTGCTGGCTATCCTGACGCTGTCTGGAGTCATGGGCTGCACAGTCTGCCTCTGCAGCATTAAACTGGACACACGTAACTTGGAGTGACTTTTTATCCCTGAAGACTCTTGAATAAACGTCCTTTACCTGAGATCTTCAGGTGCCACGTCGAGGAGGATTCATCAGCTTTGTTCAACTGCCCAAAAACTCAGCCATGTTCACCGATGTCTTTGTGTAACTCTTCACATTTAGGAAAGACGCAAGAGTCTCCTGTGATGTATGTGTTGTGGAAAATGTTGCTTCTTCTGCTGCCAAATGTGGATCAGTCAGCTGCCCCTCAGAAAGCTGAAGCACCGCTGCAATGTAAAGCCATCTGTCACTACAAAGCCTTAAATGCACGGAGCATGTTTAAGACACTAATTTCAGCTATGAGGAGCATCCAGCTTTCCATCTCAACCATAGCAACACCTGCAACTGAAGGGTCTGCGTGTACATAGAGTTTGACGGTACTTTCTTTCAGTAGATACTATTTTGCAAATCTTTGGGCAAATACTGTGTTTTACTCCGCTACATTTATCTTCAATCTTCTTAACAACCTACATAACAGTTTAGAATAAGATATAAAACAAACTTATCTACGAGGTCAAACCAGCAAGTTCCAACCTTTGTGGTCCTGTAAGGAACCAAAGTGTGGTTAAACTAAAGCTGACGCTGCAGTTTACGGTGTCCTTACTCAGCATATCTTTGGGGTCACCTTGACACATGTAGCCAAACACGTGTCACAACACCACAATTACAAGGACTTGCAGAAACAACACCGCTCGCTGGGCTCAATCCAGGACTGCTTGCACTTTTATATCAGAAACAGTTGTGAGTGTTTAAATTGTTAAAACTGTTTAGATCAAACACACTTTGATAATATTTTTTAACGGACCAAACAGCCTTGAGATGGTAAATAGGACCGATAATTATATTTTTTTATACTGAGCCAGCAAGGAAGAAAAGTTGAGCATTTCTCTTGACCTTTAAAAAAATGCAAGCTCAAGATGACCTCTCAGGCGACACACTGGTTTTATTAAAGAATTTATACAATACAGAGACGTATTTACAGCTATGTACAGTGATGTACAGTGATTACATGAACACACTTTTTATAGATCAAATTCACAGAGAGGTGAAAATATATAACTAGCAGCGCTCCATATAAGAGACTCCAGTATCTATATTATAGTATTTACATTTATTGTACAGGTGAGTTGTTTTCTCTTTCCCTGTTTTAAGTGCAAAATACCTTTTTTTTAAAGTCACAATCATTACAGTACAATACCTCTGAAGAACTGAGGTTCAAGTATTGCTTACTAACTGGAAATGCATAATTGAATGAGCATGAGCCAAAAAATAAAATCTTATCCACAGCAGACATTGCACTTTACAAAGACCACACATCACAAACATTAATAGAAGCTTTGCTTTCGAGCTCTTCTTTGAGGTGACAGCTTCAAAGTAACGTCTTCTTGCAGAAGTGAAGCAGTAAAACATGCAAAAGCATTAAAAATAATACCTTTTTCAGCTTTGAGTACTTCAGTATAAGTTCATACAGTAAGAACAACGGACGCCGAGTTGGAAGGCAACAATAAAAAGCCGAAAAGCTTCTGCTGCTTGTTTACAGTAAGGCACACTGATACAGGTCCCACAGTCACATACAGCGCTGAGAGTCACAGTGGTGAATGCTCGGTGACTCAGGTAACTTAGTACTTACTTAGGTAACACAAAAAGGTAACTAAACTGTAACCTACTGCTTAAAACACAAAAAATACATCTTTAATATTATTTTTCCTCATTTTCAGAGGTGTCACTCTATTATATTTCACAGTGCTTCCTTTATATGAAATATTATTATTGTACTACACATCAGGGCATTAGTACCTCTACAACCAAACTTTGTTGATCTGGCCAGTACGATTTACTAGTAGTACAACAATCATGAAAAAGTCATTAAATTACTTTTTTTTTTTTTAACAAAGTATGACATAGTATTCACATACATATTGTTTTAAACATTATACCTATTTGGATATATACAAGGTGATAAAGGCTTTCAGATATTTACTGGTGTATAAAAGTTACTAGTGTATAAATTATCTGCTAAGTGCTGAAATGGACAAAGGGGATGGTGGAGAGCGTCTTGTCTTCACGATCAGTGGTTCTCCAGAGTTACTCTACAGACAGAAGCAGCAAATGTATTGTTATTTATCAGCGTTAGCAGTAATGCAATGGTAAAGAGTAGAGTTAACACAGAGGCAAGCTCACCTTCTTAGAGTTCGCTTTCTGTTCGTCCTCCACGGATCCTTACATTTAACAAACGTGAGCTCCTGTGTCAGCTTCTGAGCGTCAGGATCTTTTATGCAGAACACCATCCTGTGGGAGAAATTCATGAAATACTGCTTAACTGTGCATGTTCAAGTAGCTCCGTGAGATTCTGCTTAAGCCTGTGCTTTAAGCTTGATATATTTTAGCCATAAATCCCAGTAATAGACACATTTCTATGAGGTCCATCATGGAAACTCCAACACTGGCATTTCAGGAAAACTCAAGGGAAGCCTCGAGTTTTTTTTCTTCTGGCAGACAGAAATTATTTGGTAACTACACCTTTAATGTTCTGCAACTCACTTTTGTTGCGTCTCGCCCGCTCTAATGCGGATTTTGTGAACCGCCACGTTAGCGCCATCTGAGCTGCCAGACCACCAAGAGGAAACCATCTTCAGCATGCTTGACGCAGACCAGCCGTTTGTCTCCTCCCATTTAAACTTCAGCATCAGCAGGTCACCGATGTCTTTCTCCGTCACCAGCAGGAACGAATGGGTCTTATTTGTGACAATTTTCTCCTTTCTGCCAGACACAGGCGGAAAGAAATGTTGATCTCCACGCATACACATAGCCAGCATGTTTTATTTAACTGAGGCTTGTAAAGTATGTGCCATAAAAGATGATAAAATGGCGATGAAAGCACGCTGTAAAGGCCCAGCAGTGAAATGTGTTTGTGTGTGGTTGCCTCTTTCTGTTTATGGTTTCTGTCTCGTGCTGTTTTCTTTGATTACTGTGCAAGTGTTAAAAACAACTCGTAACTTGAAAAATGCAAGTCACTGTGCAGTAATTCTTCTTTATAAGGGTTCAAACCCTCACTCACAGTTTAAGCTGCAGGTTTTCAGCTTCTCCTCTGGTTCCATACAGCGAGACAGTAAGCGAGGGCTCCATAGCTGAGCTATTCACCTTACTGGAGAAGTGGATCTTCAGCTGATAGTGGTAAACTGCAAAACAAAGCAACAATTTGCACCATTTAAGGACCTGAAAGCATGCGTGTAAATTAACGTAATAAAACTGCTCCAGATTTAATGGGTTTAAGTTTCAGCCGAAGCAACTAGAATCTCAAAAGTCACCAAACCCAGAAAGTATGAGATGTTTTTTAGATTATTCTTTGCTTTTTGTTTCTGCAAATATATCAGCTTTCATGTGATAACAGCGATGATATTAAAGAGCATGCCGCTGACCTCTGAAAGGCATGGAGGATCGTGTCTTGGTGTACATCTGAACGCTGCGAGGCTTGCGGACCTTGCTGATGTCGTAGCCCACCGTGTTGCAGCGGCTTTTCCGGCAGCTCAGGCACATCCCGCGGTCGAACATGTCGTTGCTGCCACATCTGTACGCCATGGCCGCTTCCTGCTCGTTCAGCAGGGAGTCGATGAAGAGGTGAACCGAACGCTCGTGTTCACACTTGACGGCGTCCGACACAGCTGAGGAGGAAAGAAATGGATGCAATTTATTATCTGCTGTAATTCTCTACATTGCATACACATTACTTTTCCATTCAGTAGCTGACCGTGCTCCGGGTAAATTTACTTATTTTTAATCTGACCTTTCCTCAGCCATGTTTGGGACCCTCTGTTTATTTTCACACTGGTGTGAATGACGTCATTGTGCAGCTGTCATTAACAATGTCCACTGCTAAGATATTAATGACAGCAGCAAGCAGTTACAAGCTTCTAAGCGGCACACTCTGTGTATAGGCACTTATGTGTTTCTAAAAAATGTGCTTAATTTTGTTTTATTGTGGCTGAACCTCTGATCTGATTGCTTCATAATAAAGTTCATTAACGCTTTAACTAACTTTACCTGTTTCTTACTCTCTTCGTAAAAGAATACAACAATCACTGTGCAGATACAGTAAAATCAGGGCTGCAGTCATTTTAGTTATTTTTACCAAATATTCCAAAGTTGGCGATCTTCTCCAGCGCTCCCCTGAGGTTGCAGCCCGGCTGGTAGCTGCCTCCGTTGGGGTAAATGTCCACGTGGCCGACGGGCTGCTGGATTCCGATGCTGAGACCCAAAGAGCCGCGTGTGAAGGTGTGAAGGACATCCACGAAGTGAGCATCATCTGGGGAGAGGCGCCTGTGGGCGTGTTCGCCCTCGAAGTCGGGACCAGCGGGATCCAAACCTTCAGACAGAGACGAGGAGGACCAACATTACACGACTTTATTGTTGTGGTAATAGCTTTAAAACAAACATCTGAAATCTTCTGTCTTGTTTACCGGTGATTCTTCCGACTTTATTGGTTGCATGGCTGCCAGCAAATCCGGCCACGTGGGCCCCGAGGCTGTAGCCAATCAGGTGAATGTTCTCAAGAGGCATGTTGGTGGTCTCCTTGAAAATCAAAAGTAATTAAGTTAAGCAGAGTGTAAGAAATACTCCACATTACCTTTGGGTTTAATTTCATTCGCTTTTTCTTTGTTACTCATATAAACACATCGTTTAAATACTTGAGGTTAAATAACACTAACTCATCGATATTTTAATGAAAGGGCATTTAATGAGACCTGTGAAATCAAGAGCTTAACTAACCTCGATCCAGTCGATGAACTGAGCGATCTCCTGCCCCACTGCTTTGGTTTTCTGAGCTGCGACCACATAGTGATTCTGAGCCGAGTTGAGCCAGTCCACCACGATGACGTTGGCCGTCTGCTCTCTCTCATACAGTGCCGATACCAGTTTAGGGATCCAGCTTTCAAACATACCACTCAGCTGTTGAAAAGACAAACAAACATCAATCCTGACAGGTGAAACTAGTGTACGCGTGTAATTTAAGCCACCTCCAGATCAACATGTCAGGAAATACTTTGGCTGGTTGTCAGTCAATATGATTTTTTTATTTTAGTGAGATGCTACCTCACCAGAATTTGGTGAAAGGTATTCCCGGTCTTTTATTCTCCTTTCGATTCAAAAGAAAACAAAGCTCTGGATATTTTGGAAAATAGGGGCAGGTTAAAACAAGCTGAAGCATCTCTGCTTACCGTCCAGCCATGGATTATGAGAAAGGTTTTGGAAGTGCCGTTGAAGGTGCAGGTTGCCAGGGAGTCGGGTTTTCCTGGAATGATGTAGCAGAGGTCATCATCGGGATGGGATGGCTTGCGGAGCGAGAATTTGGCAACAGTGGCATTGCTCTCAGCCTTGTGGTCAAAAAAGCCTTTCACAGGATCGAGGAAGTTACCTGACAGAGAAGATTATCCAGTTAGCTGGATGGTTTAAGAGGACATTATACTCTTAAAAAAATAAAGAAGGGGAAACAAATCCTCTGGCTTCCTGGTGTTTTGATCAGATATACAAATCTTATCTAATAGTCTGGCTGGAAAGTCTGAGAAGTCTGACCAGCTAGCTGAGTTGCTGGTGGCAATAAGGTCCGCCCCCAGGGCCCCTCAGAAAATGAGCTTCCACCTTAGAGGAGATCAAAGCTCAGGGGTTTAAGGGGTTCACTTGGTCAGGACTGAGCTCCACAGAGGCTCATAAGGGTTTCTCAGCTTTGTTCCTGCCACCTCACCGAATATAATCTGCCCAAGTTTCTGTGGTCCTGCTGGCACAGTCAGCTGACTGGGCTTTGTACTGATTTTCAAAGTGTGGGGAGGTGGACACCAGACTCTTGCAAACAATTACCAAATGAAAGGCTCCAACAGTTTGAGGATCATATTGTGAAAATAAATAGACATGATGACACCCGGATAAATCAGTTGGTTGGGATAATTTGACAGTCTGAAACATTTCAGTTTATTTCTCTAATTTCCAGCGTTAGCTTCAATTTCAGAGCGTCTCTTCCAGGGAATAGTAAGTGAGGAGAGTATCAGAGATGAGTTTAGTCATAGACACGTGACCTAAAGTATGTCCTATAGCGCGTTGATATCACCGGCAAGGTAGAAACTACTGTACACACACAAGCACTGCGCTTGGTTTTCACCAAGTTACAGTTACACGGGAATTTTTACCTCACGTACCTGCAGAACTACAAACATACAGACCTAAATGTGGATGAAGTAACTGACAACTCACCAAAAATAGAATCGGCGAGCTCTTCCTCCAAGGACGTCACATTTTGCACAGCTGCATTCAACACCACGAAGCACAGAAACCGCACTTTCCACGCTCTCATTTCTTTTGCACTTTATTCCTTTTGGAGAAAATATCTTTAAGGACGAAATCAGTCAATGAAACGCCGCAGCCCGGGAGTGTACGCAGTCCTGTAGTAAGGAATAAGCCCGCGCGTCCTGTTGCGCGCAGTGCGCTGATATCTGAACCACCTTGAACTGTCTGCGTCTTAAATAGCGCTTCTGAAGTTCTGACAAGCCATTGGCTGCTGGCCTCGGGCGGGGAATGGAAAGTAAATGTGTAAACTAGATCATTAAGCCTGCTTTATGAGGAGCGATAGCAACAGTGTTTGGCAGTGTAGCGACTCATTGAACCCCGAGAAAGCGCTATTTATTTTTTAAATGCATTCAGTGTATGTTTCTACCACACGACCACGGCCAGATCAGCAGGAGACACTGATTAGCATACATGTTTGCATTGTTGCAGTGCTTCCTGTGTGATTAACTAAATCTGTAAAGAAATGCACTTTCATATTTAAATAGTGTAACTAGGCTGAATTGTATACATACATGGCTTTAAACCGATTTTTATAAGTCAAAAGTTCCACATCATTCAGATCATTCATCGTCATGTTTGCAGGGCTCCACTACTCAGAAACAGTTCTTATTCAATATTATATTATTTTTTTTAAACTGGAAAGATAAGACTGAAACTTAACTGAGCAATCAGTGAGGTTCTTGCAGTAAAGTTGGCCGCCATTGCTTTAAAACTCTGACCTTTGACCTATTACATGTGATAGGTCAATACCTAACCTATTTACTTACCAAATAGGCTAGGTATTGCTGATACAAGTTTAAGATTATGGACACATATTCATGCAAGAGTAGCTGGCTTTACAGCTGCTGAGTTGTTGCCCAAAACGTCAGGACAAGACACTAAGAAAAACTGGGAAGGAGGCCGATGAAGTGATGGTTGAAGAGTCAGAAGCTTGTTAAAGTCAACTGCACCATTTCCAAGATACAAAAAAATTACTGGTGCAGTGACTGATATATACTATGTATGTTAGAGTGTGTAATAAATACAGTACATACCAAATTAATATAAGTTCGGATCTTTTTTTAAGTCCATTTTAATATAATTTTCTAAATAAATCCAAGTTCTTGATTCTGACTGCTAAACTGCTGCTACTTCACACTTTATTCACAAATCACTTGTGATCTGACTCAGACATGAGCACATATAAAATGATCATTTGTGAAATGGGACCCCCTAAAAGCTATTCCCATAAAAATGAGCGTTTGATGGAGCATCTAACTTGGAAAATGAGTAAAACCCTGCAAAATCAATAATAATACCCACTTTAAGCCTCACCTGGACTGGACACCAACAGTACAGTCTTGAGATTCCTGCCCAAGGGCTTCAACTCCCAGCGCACCTTGAGTCAGGTGATCTCAAGGTCTCAAAGTGGTTTCACCCAAAACTTGTAGTGCTAATGACACACGCCTTTTTTCACACCTGGGCTCATGTGATGATGCATATGATTAATAGTGGGTCAAGGACAACCACCTAAGGAACAACCCCGACTAGGGTTTAAAAACCTGGGACTCTCCACCCTTTGGTTTTAGAGGAGAAGCATTTTCAATGAGAGGTGAAATGTCTCCAAAACACTTAAAAGACAACTGTGACCTGGATGACCGAGAACCTACACAGAAATATTTTACACAATATCTTCATTTTTGCTCTGTTACATGAGGTGCAGGCCATACTGTGTAATAAAAGCTCCACTCCTCTCCTTCTTTTTGCACACACTCTCCAGATGTTGGTATTGCAACAAAACAGCTGGCTTCATTACTTTTTATTCTTCTTTGAATATGATTGGATTTTCCTTGAAAAACAGTGACTGCATTTGTTTTTCCACTCCTGCCTCTGCAGCCTTTTCAGGGGAAGCACTCGTCCCCTGGTGACTAAAGGGAAGTGAAGAACATGCCGGACCACAGCCAAGATTTGTTGGTTCCAGCTGAGATGAAAAATGGGCAAACAGTAAGTCCTCCTTAAAGTTTGGAGACAACAGAATGTCTTTAATTTTATGTACTTCCAAGTTTATTTCCCAAGCTGATTTCTAGGAACGGCACATGTTGCATACGAGAAAATCACACAAAAAAAGACAAACAGAGAAAAACTTTGTATTTTTTAGGCTTATAGAAGACAGCAACAGCTTTAAACCAAGCAAAAATATGAATAGTTAATTTGTTACCATTTATACATGCAGCGTTTTTCCTGAGCACTAGTTTCAGATTGGAGAGGGCAGCAGGAAAAATGGAAAAGTCATCTTTGTGGCTTCAACAACACTTGTTCACCAGCAACAGAAAGTCATGAGGGAAAGTTTCCACAGTGACCACAAGGACAAAAATGCTTTCCTGTACCTTGACCTTACACTTGCTCACACCAAGTTCTGTTACAACTCTTTAACCTTCTTTGTGTCCCAGAAAAGTAAATGAGCAATGATGTTAGTGATACTTTATGAATAATGTGAAATGGACTCTAAGAAACTCTTTGGCTGAAGGTTAGAAATCCTGTTATTCCCCAGTGACACTGCTAAAAGAAGAAAATACTGATTTCTACAGTCCCCTCACATTGGATCAGGCATTTTCAGAGTATCAGAATTATAGAAAATGAAACATTACAAACAAAGTCGGGGGAATTTTTGTTGTTTTGTTTGGAAGATTAGATCACGCCATGACCTGATCAACTTTAAAACTAAAACAGCCGTCAGCTGACATTCAGATTGTGCTTTGAGAGTTTAAACAACTAGAATATAAAAAAACATCCACATCTCATTTCATTATCCCGGTCCAAACTCCAAATGTTGCACAACAGCTTTCCTCTTTTTAGGAAAGTTTAGGTTTAGGTGAGCTGTGGGGCTGTGGGGGCACAGCAAACCCACATCTATTCAGGTTCAAGTGGATGTGTCTACACAGGGCATACAGCATTTTGGGCCTTTGGGACTACTACATGGTCCACAGTGTACTTACCCATAGAAAACCCACGTGGAGCCTCAAAGGGGAAAAAACTGCTGTGGGCCCTGCTTGGGCACACCCATTTGAGGGCCATGTGGGATAAGTGTGGGGCTGCCTGTGCACACAGCCCTACAATCTACCCATAGCTACTCACTGTTGGTCAACATGGGCATGTTTGCTGGCACATTATTTATAATGAGGAAACACCGTACAGGTGAATGTGAGTATTGTGGAAAAAATGAAACCAACAGAATATGTTGTTTTCATATTCTGTGAAAGTTCCCCAGATTGAGCCTCGGAGGAGACACACGTGAAGCCCCAGCACCGAAGTCCACAGTGTGGAGTGGGGCTGAGGTGTGCGTTACAGGTGTGCCTGCTGTGGACCCGTGCGGGAAAGCTGTTACTTTTAAGTAATATTGCAGTCTTTATACACAAGGGTAGTAAAAAAAGAGTGTTTACATAAACAATTCTTCTTTAGGGTAAATCATCATCTGTTGCCAGGCAACATCATCTGTTGCCTGGCACCTTATCCTTAATTTTACAGTACTGTGGTGAGCACTGATTTATGCACCTATATGGCTTGAGTCCTCCTAGCTATAGAGTGTACTTTTAATGAAAAGAGCAAAAGCAGTTTTAAGAACTGTATCAGTGGTCGAAACCGTTTTAGCGGCTGCTCAGGAAATGGTAACATGTGGGAAGCTGAAGGTATCATTTATTAAAATATCCGAGCACGCATTCTCAGTCAAACTAAACTGAAATTGTTTGAAAATGTACAAGCATGGCTCTCTCCACAAATACAATCAAGTACCAGGCCATAAAACTGCAAGTCAGCAAGTAGAGAGCATGAGTGTATCTCCAGCATTCTCAGGTGCTATACTTTTAATTTCTTATCAAAGTAAGCTACATTTAATTAAATTCATTTGTATAATCACAGGTAGCACTCAAAGTGGCCAGAATATTTTTCTAGCTCTTTTCACAGCAAGATATTTTTTTCCTTGTCTTCACTAACATTCACGATTTCAGTTTTATCATTTCATGAATGCCACACATGCAGAAGCTTTACTGGAATGAAAATGTAACTTTAGCTTCTTCTTCTGCCTCAGTTTCACCATCCTCTGTAATGCCATTCCCCTCTCACTACATCCACAAATCTTCTCTGGAGTCTTCCTCATTTCCTCCTGCCTGACAGCGCCATATTCAACATCCTTCATCCAGGATCTCCACCATTCCTTCTCTCCAATCCAATCCATCTCAGTTTTGCTGCTCTAACTTTGTCTTCACACGGCCCAACCTGAGTGGTCACTCTGATATACTTATTTCTCAACCCGTCCATCAGCACTGCAAACAAGAAGGGGCTCAGAGTCTCAGAGGTTAGATAGGGTGTCATCTTGGCGCCCTATCTAACCTTCTCCATCAAAACTCTGAAAGCAAACATTGCATCTGCGCTGCACTGCTCCTCACTAATCATCACCCTTCGTCTTAACCTAGCTTCAACAGCTCTTCCCCATATCTTCATGATGTGGCTCATCGGCATCGCCACAGATCTGCACATCACTCCTTGTCCTTGAGAACTGGTACCAGAACACATTTGCTGCATTATTTATATGTATGAGTGATGCTGATACATGTAGCCTTCATTATAAGGCTCTGTTCTTTTGATAGCAAGGGCTGTTGACCCCTACCTAACCAGCATCTGCACATGCTCAAAGTAGCGGTTCCATCAACAGCTAGAACTGGGACCAATTTGATCGATCCTTCCAAGGTCTCGCCCACAAAAACACAAACCGCTTGAATTGTAAAAAAATAGAGATGACAACGGGAGCCTGCCAAAATATATTACAGCTTTATATACAAATATATAAATGTACAATCAATAAATACAAGGTGAAGTAATCTTGAGATGTATTATGGCTGTCGTTTATGTCAGTCCATCACAAATCATAAAGGCTTGGGTGATTTTTTTGTAATGTTTGACCTTTTAGTATATGGCTATAATTGAGTGAAATGAGGTAAACTGTTTCAGGTGAGATGCTGTTGACCGAGAGGCGCACTTATCCTTTAAAATTTGATCAGTTTACCAAAACTAACAAAAATGCATATCCTTATTGGAGTGCAACCTCAATGACCTTAACATCTGAACTGCTTCGAGGGGCGGAGAGCCTTTTAAAGTGACCAGTGACACAATAACCAATAAAATCAAAGATCAAGCAAGACTTCAAAAGATCAGATATTACCATGTAGCTCATATTTGAAAAGATACTGATTAAGGTATTTACAAAGACCACTGTGATTCTCCATTCAGTAGATTGTAAATGCTTCTTTGGTCCCTGTTGATTGTTGGCAATTAGTGGTTAAGTAAAGACAAATGTTGGGCACAAAATAATCACTTTGGACATTTAAAAAACAAAAAACCAACAAAGATGTGCCAAAATTATGCCTATCACTCTGGATTATTTAAACATCAATAATAATCCAAGTTCACAAAGGCTCAGAAAACACATCGCTTCTGTCAAAGTATATCAAAGTCGGTATAAACAGTACATATAGGATACAAAAAGCAAAAATGATGATTACAAAGCAGTTCAGCTACTTAAAAATGTCAGCACATCATCAAGAAGAAACATGCTACAGCAGCGTGATTTCTAGCACTGTGGATGAGGTTAAGTTGGTTGCACGGGAAGTTCAGTAAATACAAGAGCAGGAGAAGAAGAAAAAAAACACAGCAAATCTCATATGTGTCCAGTTATTTGCGAAGGCTTTCCCAGCGTTGCTGTGTGCTGCCCATCTTTGGCTACGTGTGAAGGGACAGATGATACGCGCGGTGGGTGTTTGAGTGCAACTTCAAGCTTCCTGCTGCCCAAAAAGGCTGCCCTTCGTTTTAAGCTTGTGCGCCCTGGGAAGAAGAAGAGTAGAATGAGACATCTTGTCTTTGATAATGCAAAAACAAAGCTCGCAGGACCTAAAGAGTGCTATCTATAGGATTCAAATGTGATAATTGTTTTATTCTTGTTGCTCTTGTTTTCAGATTTCATCTCCTCCTGGCCTCCACACTTTCCTCTGTCATGCACATCCACAAACATCTTCGGGCCGTCCTCCTTTCATCTTGCCTGGTAACTCCTCCCCTCTTAATACATCCAGTAATTCTCCTCTTTGCATGTCTAAACCTGCTCAATCTCCCCTGAACTACCCAATGTCTCTTCCTAAAACTCTTTCTAATACATTTGTAACTGTTAATTAAAGTTTAATGATCTATTTCTGTGGTTCAGGTTTGATTTACTCATTTTTCCACTTCCTCCAATTTATCAGCTCAGGGGAAAATTGAGTTCTCTACATCTCTCTAACAAGATAAATCTACTTTTTACATTTAGGCAAACACTTAAAGATTTTATTTAAAGTAGAAAATGTTTCACTGTCTTTAACTTACAGTTTTTCTTTACGGCTCTGTTTGTCTTCCTTTGACTTGACAAAGACGGCGTTCTCTCCTCCCCGGGTGAGGTCAACAAACTCTCCGTCCTTTGCATTAAAGATCACCCTGAATACACACAGAGAAAAAAAAACATTATTAACATCCTAAATGATTATTTTTCCGTCACAAGACTGCAGTGCGTAAATGTCAGCAGGTCTGAACTTACTTGGACTGAGTCTCTCCACACTTGATGCGAAGTTTTCGGATGTTGAACTTGGTGCTGCCCCACCAGTTTGACCAGCTGATGTACGCATCCCGCTCCCAGCGCAGCTTCACGATCATCAGGTCTCCGATATCCGTGTCGGTGGTGATGAGGAAGGATTGAGTGGTGTTGCTGTTCAGGGCTGGTCTGCAAGGTTAAGACAAGAGAAGCTGCTCAGATTTGAAGGTTCTCTACACGGATTGTTAGATTTGTCTACCTTTTCTTGTAATCTACATGTGCACGTCTTTGCAAACTTGGTTTTAAAGTTATAAAAGTAAATATGTATGCTGTTTAATGTACTCACAGAACAAAAGGAATATCTTCCTTCTCTCCATTTGTTCCATACAGGGAAATCTTCATTGGCTGCTCCGTGAAGCTCTGCTTGTTCTGGCTGAAGAAATGTGCCTTCACCTGGTAGTGGAAAACTGTAAGAGGGGGGGATCCAGTTGTTAGAGATTAGCCCACTTCTCTTATTTGACTGCTCCAAGTTTGTTTATCACTAGAAAAGCTTATGTAACCTGGACCTTTCTCTATCTCAGTGTGACCTTTACAGACTGGCATTTAAAACACGGATTTGCGGTAAATCCTGGCTGGTTTCATTTGCAAAGCCACATAAATGACTAACAGCCAGATTCCCAGACACGGCTCAAGACGTGTACCAGATTAGAGGAAAAATTCAATAAAGATCTTTGTTGAAAAAAGTCACTGAGTGGCGAATGAGGCTTGATTCATGTTGGAGACCCTATGTATCTACAAAACATGCTAAGCTGTCAACACAAAGTTTCTAACAATAACACTGTTGGCTTGTGTCAATAAACTTTTCCATTGCTGGTGTCCACTGGTCTCACTTTTCCTTAACATCCCCTCCAGATAATGGAAACACCCATGACACCTTCTCGTAACCTTCTGAGTGCGTGATACTTTTTGTACACGTGTCGTTGCAGTAAGAGTCAGCAACACTACCAGTACTACCAGTAATTCCAGCTTCAGGAAACCACATGCACACTAAGAACACCACAGAACAGTAGCTCATAGACTGAGGATTACTTTAATAAAGTATGTGAATGGCTTAAATCATTATAATCCTCCATAAAGTACATAAAACCAGCTGGAATTTTCTTCAGCTGTTAAATGTTAAATTTAATCTCTTTTGCACTGCAGGGAGCATCCATTCATTCTGCTTTAATATCACTGACAGATACTCAAATCTTTTCACATGCACATCCTTTTTTCTGGTTTTTACCTTTGAAAGGCATCGTTCCACGAGTCTTGAGGTACATCGTTGTGCTGCGGGCCGTGCGGACTTTTTTCACGTTGTAGCCGATCTTGTTGCAGCGGTTCTTCCTGCAGCTGAGGCACATTCCCTTGTTGAAGGTGTCTTTGGAGTTGCATCGGAAGGCCACGCTCTGCTGCTCGATGTTCAGCAGAGAGTCGATGAACAGGTGGATGGAGCGCTCGTGGGAGCATTTGACAAGCTGGTCCATATCTGCGAAACAGAGAGCAAAGAACGTGTAAGGTTTCTGCACGTCGCCCAGGTAACGTCACGCAAACATGGAAAATTACTTCCTCGTGTTGGACTTTTACTGTTTTTTTAACACATGCTGACCCACAAGCCATTTCCCACTTAGTTCTGCTCTGCTCTGTTAAAGTACAACAGCTGAGGGGGCAGAACATCAAGAGGTACTTTAATCTCTGTCACAGTGCAAGTCTGTTATGACTGGAGGCAAACACGCTTTAACTGCGGCCCTGAAAGCTTTTATACAGTCAGTGTCTGTTGATGCCACGTAAACTTACAAGAACTGTTACAGACATTTGTTAAACCGATCGTTTATACAATTTAACCGATCACCATTATCTTCTGTTTTTGCTCATTATACTGAACATAAACACTCACTCTTGGTGTTGAAGAGCAAAGATTATGTGATGCTGCATGTGCTGTTATGAATCCAGGTTATATTTGTATTTGGCTGTGTGTTACCATCAGTAATCAAATCAAACCTAAACAAAGTGCTTCAAAGTGAATATTTGTAAAAGTGCAGTCAAGAGCAAAAAGCAAGGAGGGTTTGTATGACATACTTTGGAGGCCTTTGATTCCTTCTAATGCAATTCCCATCAAAGTGTTCTGGATGTCGCAGCCTGGCTGGAAGGTGCCTCCGTTGGGGTAAATATCTATGTGACCCACTGGTCTCTGGATGCCAATGCTGCGGTCCGGGGAGCCCCTGGTGTTGGTGTGCAGGACATCCACAAACTGGGCATCGCCTCGGGACAGTGTGCTCTGTTCATCCGCGTGCTCGAACGTGGGGCCGGCGGGATCCAGACCTGGAGAAAAAGAGGGATTTGCGTTTTTTTTACTGTGTCACAACAAAGAAAATATGGAGAGATTTGGATGTACTAGAAGAAAGCGATCACTTTTATAGATCGATTTACTAACAGAGCTGCACATTAAAGTATTTTGGCCTTTTACTGCACCTATGCAGAACCGCTGAAGCTCAAAACAATGTGAGGCAGTGAGTGTGGGTTCTTAATGGGCGCAGCTCTTAGATCACAGTAAACACACCATTATTCTTGGCAGGTCAGACAGATTTCAAAGCTGGAGCAACGTCATAGTGGCAAAAAAAACCTGGAGCCACTAGCTGGCAGGAGCTCAGTAGATGTAGATACACATGCATGCCCAGATTATGTTTCACTGGCATGCTGAGGTGCTTTTAAGAGCGGCACTGGAAAAAAATACTCATACATATGGTATGGTATGTTAACACACAGGCACTTACACTATATTTAGTATTTAATGGTATCTGAAAACAGGTCACAGTGCTTACAGCTAAAACACCTTACACAATCTTAACTGTAATGATGCAGTTGTGTGAGACTGTGCTGTCAGAGGGCAACACTGACCCATTGTGCTAATAAATCTATAATGTGAGCAGATAATAATCCATTTGATATCTTAATGCTCTTACCTGTGATCCGGCTGATTTTGTGGTTGGTAAGGTCTCCGGCAATTCCAGCAACATGCGCTCCCAGACTATAACCCAGCAGATGAACTCTGTCCCAGGGCAACTGCAGCTCGTTCTGAAAGGTAAGAAATGCGTCAGAAGAACATATTACTCTCCCGTAAAACAGTTTGCAGAGAATCCTGCAGACTTGCAAGAGGGATCGAAACTATCTGTAGGTTATAGCTTTTCCAAATGTTCATAGAATTTTGGAAATCCTCCAAAAAAGGGGATCATTTTATGTAATTTGGGGTTTGCCAAATCTTTGCAAGCTTCATGTAAACAAATTCTTCACGCCAGTTCCCCTTTTAGCCTTGTTCAAACCAAAGATGCGCTCCACTAAGCCTTGTTAGGAGACGCTGTTGTGAGCCACAAACGCGGTCATAAAATATTTTTATTGGCATTTAAAATCATAACCAGTAGGAAAACATATCCGCAGCAGCACCACGGGGTACAAAACATTACATCATGTAAAGCAACTTTCTCTGGCAGCACACTGACGACAAGTCAGCGCTGTGGTAATATGGGCGTCCAAAAAGAAAAAAAATGTGTTAAGTTAGTTGTCAACCGCTGCTTATCTGTGAAAGCACTCACTTGTATCCAGGTAACAAACTTGGCGACGTCACGACCCACTAGTTTGGTGTAGGCGGCAGAGGTCGGGTAGTGCTGGTTGGCTCGGGACAGCCAGTCCACCACAATCACATTAGCAGTGGGTACACGGTCATACAGAGCAGACACCAGCTTGGGCACCCAGCTCTCAAACATCCCTGTTACCTACAGGAACACACAAAGCTAGTGTGAGCTCAACTGCAGTATGGCATGATTTATTCTTGCCTTAGCCCTCGCTCTGTGTCCTGTTGTTGGAGAACAGCCAAAGCATCATCAGGTTCAAATTTTGCTGCCTGACTGGCCATAAATCACATTAAAACAGAAAATGCACGGACTTCCTATCATTCCTTTCCCAGCCTGTTTCCTCTTACAAGTGTAGCTTTGTATTAAGTTTACAATTCTGCCCCAAAAATAATAGTACAATTGGTAGGTTTGGTTTTTCAACATCAGAACAAAGTATTTCTGTCATTTGCAAAGAGCAAAACATGGCTGTCAAGTGTGCTCAGTGTGACATACCGTCCAGCCGTGTATCACAATGAAGGTCTGTGTTTCTGGATTAAAGTTGCACTCCTTGATGGTTTCCGGCCTCCCAGGTACTATGTAACACATGTCATCATCCGGGGTGTCTGCGGTGCGCAGGGAGAACTTGGACACGATGTCGGTGAAGTCGGTGAGCCATTCAGTGGTATTCAGCAGTTGATCAATGGTGACTGTGGTGTTTGCTGTTACAACACACACAAACAAGCAGTGCTGGATTGTTATGATATGACAGAAAAGCGGGTGTCTGTTGACAGGTGAGACAAAGACACTTTTTTACGCTGTTATTAAGTTTCAGTTAAATGCAGCTTTTCAATAATGACGGAAAACTCTTCAAAACAATACGGTGACATAGTTTTTTTAAATTAAGTGAATCAGCATCATTCTTACGCCTCGGACTGCTGATGCATAAAGCATTGTGAGCGGTGGAGCAGTAGGAGTGTAAAGCGTGGCGGTGTCGCCCCCTTTTGTCTCCTGGATTCCCACCAGCACAAGTTTTGAAAGTTTCGTGAAAAAATGAAGAATGTGGATTTTCCGGAAATAAAACTGGATCTTGTAAAGTAAACAATAATAACTTTTTCCCTATGAGACAGACTATGAAACTGAATTTGCGCGGTAACTTAATTAAATATGAGCATCGTGTTTTTCTACTCTAATATTTTTCATGTTTTATAATAAAACTGCGAAAATAAATGTGCGAATATTTTTTGCTTTTAGTTTTTCCTGTGTTGATGCCTTCTGCTTTACTCTTTCCTCGGACAAAAGCCTCTTGGCCGCAGTCACACATGGAGCTAAAGACCTAAACTCCGTCCGCTTATTACCAGGTTATTACCGGTCAACACGGTGCAGCGCGCATTAATTAACCTGCATCCATTTATTTAAAGAGAGCAGCATCGGGGTAATATGATAATAATAATTTAAAATAAATAAAAAGTATCTCAGCCACTTACCAAAAGCGGTGGTGTTGGATTCAAGGTCTGAAGAAAAAGTTGCAAAGATTTTTCCCAAAATTATCCAAGCAGTTAAAAAGCAGATATTTTGTTTTCCCATCTTATTGATGTGTTTCTTCGAAATGCTGCTGGATGCTGGTGGAGCAGTTGTAGATCCAGTTGTTGTTGGAGAGGTCAGAAAGTGGTGTGAAGCTGGAGCTGAGGAGTGAAGTTGCTTATGGTCTGTCACAGTTGCCGCTACAGGTCATCTTTATTGGTGGCTTATTTGAATATTCAAGTACGATTGGCTGGAGGTTCGAGGGCGGAGACTGATGTTTACCCCAGCTCTGAGTGAGCGAGGAGAAGGAGAACAGATCATCCACATCCCTTTACAGAGTGTTTTATTTACGCGGTGATAACAGGGTTAGGTATGAATTACCATTCAAGACAATGGATTTTTAGGAAAACACCAGAGTTTCCTCACACTTCAGCCAAACAGTGACATTTAAAACAGCATATTAGACTCATTAACTGGTGTATGGATTTGGATGCATGTGTTAGTATTTTATGCAACATATGATCATACCGCTGTCCGTCTTGACCAGGACATTCTTGTAAGAGACTTTTAATCTCAAGAGTTTTCCCCCTAGAAGGTTAAATAAAAAAAATTATGATCGACCTTATTGAATTAATATAAAAATGTTACCAAAAAATTAAAAAAGTATATTCAGAATCTTTACAATATGCAGCTAAACGTCTTGCTGTAAGTTTGTGCTTCAAATAAAAGTGAACAAAAATGAGGGCAGGGGGAAAACCAGCCCATTGAGTCATGACTTTAGTTGGGCAATGAACAATCACGCAGTCAGACAGTGCGGATCGAGGCAGGGGAATGAATCCAATGAAAACATGTTGTGTCAGCGTGGAAGTGAGTGTTGGTAATTTGGGTGGACTTAACCTTTTAAATATCCAGATGGAGAGACGTGTGCTTGTGGGGAAACATCACTTCTGTGAAGCGTTGCGTGCCACAATAATAATTTTTTAATCATAGGCTACCTGTTGCCATGTTTTGTTAGTAGAGGTCGCTCCGTCTTTATGGTAAACACTACAAGTACTGGCTTTGAATACTGGAGTACATATTACATAAGTTAAATATTCATTTTCTAGGTGTGAATTTATGGTTCAGTTTCCTAGATTACGTTTAATTTTTGATGACTAATTAATGAAACTGGTCACAAGCCAGTGTACTCCTAATGCCAGCCCTGTCCATGTCCAGCACTAGGAGGCAGAAAAGGCATTCAGATTGTCACTAAGAAGAAAAACCATTTGTAAAACACAGAATAAAATATACAATTCATAATAAATGTATACTTATAAATGTATTATGAGCTTAAAAATACATTAACCTACTTGATGTTTCCTATTTCAAGATCAATAAATCGTCTACATCAATAAATCAAATCACTTTAAATTCTAAATATTTCTGCTTGTATCACTGATCTTTTCTTTTTTATTTCATATTCACATTTTTGACTACTTTGGCGGTGGTACTGGTATAAGTCTGATCTCAGCCAGGTGTTTTCTGCTTGTGGCATCATTACCCCAGCGGTTATTGTTGTGGAGTTGACAAAACAGAGCTTTTTGCAAACGGGAGAAGTGTTCCTTCTAACACATCTTGTGTAAAAAGGGGCATTTTAACCCTAACAGCGACGTTTTCCAAAACCAAACCAAACAGCTACTAAAACAAAATGTAAAAAAATGAAAATACAGCACGAGCCCTATGCAGGAACACAAACTTGTGTCTTCTTGATCAAAAATCTTGTGATGTATTCACTGCAGACATGCCAACAAAGATGCTGCGCTGCAAGTTGAGAAATCACACTAGAGGGGGGACCCAGTGCATTAAAACATGACAATGCTTCTTATCAAGCATGATGAAGTGGGAGTGAAAGCGTGTTGACACAAAACAGATCCGAAGAAGCGCATCGACAAAGTCTTTGAAAATGCGCACGGGGCAGTGAAAAAATCCCAAAGAGATGTGAATCTGGAGATCTTTCTCCCGTGTGAGTTGAAGGCTTTTGCATCTTTGTGCCCCTCTGGCCCAACCTCTGATAATCTGTCCATGCCTTCAGCATACCTCCAGCAGATCAGAACAGCGTGGGTGTGCTACAGAGCCCCCTCTCTCATTGGTGGACCTCTGGTGAGCCATCAACTGTGTAGCAACGCCAAAAGCACGACGTGGTGTCTAATGCTTCACAGTGTCTTTGTTCTCTTTGGGTTTAGAAGAAGAATTTAATACCATTTCCCACCCCTATACCATATATAAATAAAACAAGCTGCTTAGATGCATGTGCATACTTAAAGCCTTTTAGTGAGGGCCTCGGGGGAACCAAAGCAGCAGTGAAATCAAAAGCATGTGGATGTTACGAGAACTGCATTTCACTTTTACAGTGATTTTCATGCCAAAACACCTGTGTGAGAATATTTTGTGCCTCTCTTCTCCAGACAGAGGCCAACAAACACAGGCTGACTTTTAACCTAGATTACCCACAGTGTAATTGTATAGTGTGTTCTCTGTTGTAAGCAAGGTTTATCTGTTTGATGTGAAAGATTAAAATATGTGGAGACTGAAAAGGATTGTGCACATTCTGCACACCTTTTCCCCAAGTTGTTTAATTGACAAAAACATTGCCCTTTTAAACGAGTATAAACAAATTCCATTTTAACGAATAAACCTTCCTCTCTGTGAATCTCTGACACAATATCTCAACAAATAAAAGAGAATAAGTAAGAATAAAAGCCAGCAAATGGGTAAAGTGGACCACAGAGACACCCAATCTGCTGCACTCACAGCAGAAATATCTTTACTTCAGTCTAAATGGAAAAAAAGTTTGTAAAAAAAACATTGTAAATAAATAAAAACACAATAGCCTTTTAAAATTAGTACTTTTTACTGCCATGAAAGTTTGCAAAGAAAGTGAGAAACTATGTGCTCAGTGTGTTCATGACTTTCATCCTTTGTCCGTTAATAGATTTCTTCTTCTTCTGCTTCTTCTTCGGGTTGCTCCCTTTAGCGGTCGCCACAGCAGATCTTCTGCCTTCATCTCACTTGCCTCTGTCACACCAACCATCTGCGTCGTCTCTCGCTACATCCCTGTACCTTCTCTGTGATCGTCTTCCTCTTTGCTTCCTGCCTGGCAGCTCAGTCTTTACCATCCTTTGTCCAATATTTCCACTATCCCTTCCTCTGCACATGTGTTTACAAGGAATAAAAAATAAATCACCCCTGCTCTGTTTTTCTTTATCTAAATATAATCCTTTTGTTTGTGTATGTGTGTGAAAGCTTGTGTGTGTCAGTGAATGCCAGGAAGGTGATGCTTATGGCCTGACCAACAAGCCCAACCCAGTGATTAGACAGAAGAGCGACGCCTATCCTTCAGCCTTTGATCAGCCTCGATCTCTGCTTCTAGTGTGGTTACAGTACCTTGCCCCAAGGGGAGACACATGCAGATAAACGACAGGGCCAGAAAGAAATAAGATGAGATAATCCAGAACAAACCTCAGTGAAATGATGAAGATCGTGGAAACAAGATTTTATTTTTCGCAGCTTGGAGATTGATAAAAGTCAGAAGAGGAAGTGCTGTAGATGGACAGAGAGAGGGAGGAGAACAAAAAGTCAATGATAATTACTTATAAAAAGCAGAGGAAACAAATTACCAGTGTTTTTCTAGTTTGTATACAGATCTTCTGCCTTTCTAAGCTCCAATTAGTCTGGTTTTGACTGCTGAGGAAATTAAAAGATCACTGCTGAGAGAACATAGATTTCCTGCCGGTGAGGAATTTCTTCACTTTGCTCTTGCAGCTTTTTCATCTGAAGCCTTGCAAATCTAACGGCTGCACATTTGTTTCACATTCCTCAGCTGGCTCTGTTTGCACGTCTGAAAGATTATGCAGGCTGTAGCATTTGAAAGTACACAAGAGTGCAGAAACTGCAGTACTTAATCCACAAATCATGCCTGGGCTCTGTGTGGTGTTTCAGGACTAATTGCAAATATTTAAATTAGTGGCTTCATTAGTTGCCTTATTTGTTTTGTTTTCCTTCCCGCAGTACTTACATGTGTTTACAGGGTTTAAAAGAGCGCTGTAGAAACACCGCCGCTCTGCAGGTGTATTTACATGTACAACTCAAGCCTTTATTATACCAACATACAGCAGGTCACAGATTTTAAAGTCAGGAGAAGTAAAGCAAAGACCTCTGAATTAAGCCTGAGTATAAAAGATCATTTTGACGACTCACTGAGAAGGAAAAAACAGGGATGTGGTTTCATGAGACCACACAGCGTAAAATATATTCTTGGCGAAGAAATTTGTGGGGGGCCCTGAGTTTCAGAGAGGTTACACTATGTGTGTACAGTAGATGGCTGCTCCTCATTACAAGTGGTGCTTCCTTAACAGCTAACTGCATGCGTTTTCCTTTTTATTGTCCAGCTCAAGGGTCAAGAGCAGATGCTCATGCCTACGTGTCACAGTGTGAGTGAATATTTGATGTTAAACTTCCTTCCTAGATTCAGAGCACATTTGCAATAAGCCCAAGGCCATCCTCTTATTGTTTTCAGCGCATCTTCGCATCGTGTTCTCCTCTTATCCAAATGTTTCCACTTGCTTTCATTGTCATATCTTTTTAGACTCAACAGGAGATTGAAACACCTACAGTCTCAACAATGCCACCAGTTTTATTTACAGTGTACTGTAAAACTTTAAAACATAGGAGGAAGCAGTATTCGGTTAATACCACAGTTCACTTGAACCGTAATTGCCCTAAACCGTAAATCCATTAGAAAAGCCAGAATTGCTGTGCAGCACTGAAAAGTAAGAAAGCCCTCTCAGTAGGAGTCGAGCCTTTTACGAGTTGCTCGCTAAAGACCCATTAAGGTCATAAAAGAGCCACAGAAAGAGTCGAGGGAGAGAATTGTTTATGTGAGGAAGGCTGTTTCTTATTCTTCTGTGACATGAAAAGGCTGCATCGAGCACTCGTGCTGGCAGTTTAATGAGGAAAACTGCTTGATGTGCGAAATGTGGGTGTTTGGCCACATGTATAAGCGCATGGTCATTGCGTAGGATAAACATTTTTTTGTGTGGTGTCATGTGAAGGCAGTGTGCAGGCAGGAGTGGTGGTATGGAGGACCCAAAGTGCAGACATTCAGAGGCAAACGTGAACTCAAACTCAGCTTTATTGCTAGATGGCAACGCAGAACAGAAACTAAACAAAC